TAAACTTCGCGCGTCCTGGCATTCCTAGTATGTTTAAATCCGCTGAATTACTGGAGATCTTTTAAAAGTACTTTTCTGTGCGTGGTTTTAACTACTCCATCCGTCGATTTTTGTCTCGGCATTTCTCCCCGATCACCATATAAGTATGGCTAAATTTGATACGATACTCTTACTTCCGCCTCGCTTCTTTTAGCTTACTGTCGTGGCATTTAGTATTTCTGTATGACTCATATAATGAGCCGAGGAAACTGTATGTTATCAGGACTATCCCTGATAGTATCCAGTTTCCTATGCTTAGTGCCATGCTAAACTAGAAGATTTTCAGGTTTTTTGCGTTTCGTTATCTGATTAAGCGAAGGTGTTAAGACTGCCCAACCTACTGAGTCTTACTGACTCGACTTCGTCCGTATTTACCCCATCTGGGCAAATTTATTGACCATTTTTTGTTCCCTGACCTTCTTATCTTATTTAAACTTAACATATTGCCGGCGTCTATTGTACCGCGCAAAATTCCAGGTAGTCCAATATTGGTTCGCATTTTTTTTCTGTTGCGTGTCCCCAATAATAATGCCTTATCCATCTGATCATTACTGTTCTTACAGCCCCAATTTTGCTTCCAGTCTGTAGCATTTTAGCAGATTAGCGTACAGGACACGACCCGCACCATCTATTCGATGGTGACAGCCAATAAATCAGGCTCTGGGTCTCTTTCAGGGACATTATATTTGGCGTAATGAATATCTTCTCAAAGTTTGTTGTTTCCTCAGTCGTATTCCTGTAAGTCTGCTGATTTATTTCCGGTCAAATCTTCTCTTTTCATCATTGTAGAATCCAATTCATGATGCCTTATTGATGGAAATTCTTTGCCATTCTGCTGTCATCTCTTGATGCATGGGATGGTTTAATCTCCTACTTTCTAAAAATGACGAGCAAGATCGCTGCTGTCGCGAACCTGGCCTTTCATGTCTTCCGTGCGCATTCGCTTCGTTCCATGGCCAAGCGTACAGATGCTTCCTCTGAGAATAATAACACGAACGGTGTCCGCGGATTGCACGCTTCTTCATTTGCCAACACCAGTGAACCTGAATCCCTCCAGGATGTTTCATCAGATGCCCTCAAAACCCTTCTTACTAGCGTTAGCGCCTTGACCTTAGAAGATGTAGGAGTTGATCGCGTCAATGGATTTGACTCTTCCTCCTTTGCTGCGCCCGTTATTTACGTTCACATAACTGAAAATGAGGTTTTCTCAATGGGTATGTTCGTTCTACGACCGGGTTCACGTATTCCCTTGCACAATCATCCAGGCATGTTTGGAATCATTCGGGTAATGCAAGGCGCTGTACGTTGCCAGAGCTTCACACGTCTAAGCACTTCTCAACTAAGGGCAGCTGGCGGTCCATTGGCAGTCCTTTCGGCCCAGGGTGCCGCCAAATGGCAGCTTTCCGACTTCACGGTTGCTCAGCCCCATCAAGACACCTTGCTAAACGTTGGCTGTCAACCCTGTGTTCTAACGCCGCACACAGGCAACCTTCATGAACTGACAGCTGTCGATGGCACAGTCGTCTTTCTGGACATTCTTGCGCCACCATACAACCACGATTTAGGCACAAGAGAATGTCTTTTCTACCG